AGACTGGACCATCCTTAGTGAGCACACTGAGACCAACAGAAGGAGGTCCTGAAAATGTAACCACAGCCCCCAAACCTGCTGTCCCTGGGGCCACAGTGGCCACCCCCTTTGGAGCTCCTCTCCACTTCTGTCCCCTCTGTCCTCCCGCAGAGAATGTTCTGGCAGCACAGGGTCCCCACTCTTCTGGAGCTCCTCTCCCTCTCCTGAGTGGCTCCCCCCTCCTCTCCCTAAGCAGAAACTCCAGCCTAGGGAGCTGCACTCCCCTCCCACCCCATAAGCCACCTGTAGTGGGAACGGGTGGGTGGAAAAGCAGTCATCCTCACAACAGTAGTGACAGTAATAGTCCCAGCTACCATTTTTCGAGTGCTTCCTGTATGCTAAGCTCTTCCCATTTGTCAACTCCTCTAACCCTCACGACAGTCTGACAGTCTGACGAGGGGAGTGGTGTTGTTTTGATCTGACAGAAGAAACCATGCCCAGAGCAGTTCTGTAACTCGCTGAAGACAGCAGGAGAGACATGATCCTAATCTACCAGGCTCCAGAGCCCACGCCTTGTCTCTCTCCTCTCTGCAGCTCTCTCAGAAGGCATTTGCATTTTAATGGTAGTCTCCTCCATTTCTAGGACTCCACAGTTTGCAAAGCTGGCCCTGTGTCCCCCTGGAGCCTCCCTGTCACAGGGGTAGGGGGTGACTTCCACCCTGTCCCAGGACCAGGAAGCTCAGTGACATGTGCTCAGGTTATGAGGCAAGAAAACAGCCCTGGAATGGCCTCAGCCCGGGAATCCTGCTCTGCTGAGTTTAGTCCTAGCATATCACTCCCCTTCCTACATCCAGCAAAGCTTCCTGATGCCATGACATGCAAGGCCAACATGAGATGGCTCCATTCAACTCTCCACTGGCATCTCACACCGCCCCCCTCTAACGGTCCTCTCCCTTAAGCTGCACCGGTCTTGTTTTAGCCCTTGACTTTTCCATGATGCCTCCCACCCGAGGGCCCTGTACATGTGGTTCCTTCCAACCAGAACCCTCTTTTCTGTGTCTTCCCTTTAAGAATAGAGAAATAGGGAAATCGCAGGTGAGTCAGAACCCTTTTTCTTTCCTTTGCATGGATCACAATGAGTAACTGCATTATTCACATTCCCTGGTAGAATCTGTAAAGTGGGTGCTTTTGAGTAGTTTCCTTTACTGTTTTTGATACTGACAAATCCCTATCGGGGACCTAATAAGGAGCAAGCCCCTGGAACAGGTGAAGGGAGGGCACAGAGATGAAGACGTACAAGCATCTATTAGTACAAGGCAGGTTGAATGAATCAGGCCAAACGCTCTAAAGGAGGAGGTAGTGGGGGAGCCTAGAGAAATACTATACATTCAGAGGTGATCAGAACAGCACCGAGACTTGTTACAGAGGCTCCCGTGCTTGCTTTGATGGGTGAAAAGAGTTTTAGCTGAAGATGGGAAGGGCGGGGCGCCTGGGTGGTTCAGTCAGTTAAGAATCTGACTTCGGCTCAGGTCATGATTCGGCTCAGGTCACCATTCGAACCCCGCGTCAAGCTCTGTGCTGACAGCTTGGAGCCTGGAGCCTGTTTCAGATTCTGTGTCTCCCTCTCTCTCTGCTCCTCCCCTGCTTACTCTCTCTCTCTCTGTCTCTCTCTCTCTCTCTCTCTCTGTCTCTCTCTGTCTCAAAAATAAATAAAACATTTTTAAAATATTAAAAAAACAAAAGGGAACAGGTGAGGACATTCTAGGCTGAGAGAGTACAGAAAAAGGCACACAATTCCCCAAAGATCCAGCAAATCAGAATGACAAAGAGGCTTTCTGTACATTCTTTCCTGAAATCCCTGTGAATGCAGGCCCCAGAATGTGAGCCTTAGCACTTCAGGGATTTGGGTCTGTTTTATTCATTGCAACATTCCTGGCTCCTATGAAGTGCCAAGTAGCACTTTGGTAGGTGTTCAATAAATATTTATTGAATGAATAAAGTAGATAATCATTGCTTCCATTTTACAATTGAGAAAATGCACAGAGAAGTGGATCAAGGTTACATAGAACCAGGATTTTAAGTGGTAGAGCTGGTTATGTTAAGAACATATAGGAGGGGTGCCTGGGTGGCTCAGTCAGTTAAGTGTCCAACTTCAGCTCAGGTCATGAGCTCCCAGTCTGTGAGTTCAAGCCCCACGTTGCGCTCTGTGCTAACAGCTTAGAGCCTGGAGCCTGCTTCGGATTCTGTGTCTCCCTCTCTCTCTGTCCCTCCCCCACTCATGCTCTGTCTCTGTCTCAAAAATAAACATTAAAAAAAAATACGGGAAAATATAGTTTATAATGATGGAGGTGAGAAAGGCCTTTTAAAGTGTAACACGGAGGCTACCTATAAAGGCAAAAATTGATAAATTTGGTTACAAAAATATTTTAGAAGCTGATTTGCCCCCCCGCCCCCCCCCAAAATAAACAAGGATGAAAGAATGAGACTATGTGATGATATTTAATATGATTATAAAAATAATGTTGTGCTTGATATGTAAAGAACATTTATAAGTCAACAGAAAAAGTAAACACCCCAATAGAAAAATGGACAGATACCATGAAGAAGCAGTTCACCAATGTATAAATCAAAGTAACCAAGTAAAATATAAATATATATACACACACACACGTATATTCATTTCACAAGAAATACAAATGTAACTATAAACAATGTGATGTTCTTTTAGGTAGAGGCTGACAGAGTACAATGTTGCTCAAGATCTAAGGAAGCAGGTGCCCTCATACATTGAATGCAAGACTATAAACTGGTATGGTCTTGCTGAAAGCAGTCCTGTAACATATTCTAAAATGTAAAATGAGTATACTTTCTGATTAAGGATTTTAGCCATTCTAATAATCAAACGGTTCTATCAAAATATCTTTACAAGTAATTCTTACAGTATTCTCTATAATGTAATGAAACTTTGGAAACAAATAGCTATCAATAAGGGACTAGATAAGTTATGATATCTGTAAATAGATTTCTGTGCAGCTGTTTAGAGGATGGCATATAGTAGGGGTTGGGAAACTCTGGCTCACAGGCCAAATCCAGCCCACTGACTATTTTTGTTAATAAAGTTTTATTGGCCCACAGCCACACCCACTAGTTGATGTATCTCTACGGCTGCTTTCACACTACAGTGGCAGAGTTGAGTAGTTGTAACCGTAACCAAATGGCCCAGAGGCCTAAATTATTTATTATCCGTCCTTTTACAAAAATGTTTGCTGATCCCTGATATATAGATAGAGTCATTGACACGGAAATCTCCCTGTATCATATTATTTAGTCATAAAAGCAGGATACAAAATCACATGCAGGGGCGCCTGGGTGGCTCAGTCGGTTACGCGTCCTACTTTGGCTCAGGTCATGATCTCGCGGTTTGTGGGTTTGAGCCCTGCGTCGGGCTCTGTGCTGACAGCTCAGAGCCTGGAGCCTGCTTCTGATTCTGTGTCTCCCTCTCTCTCTGACCCTCCCCCGTTCATGCTTTGTCTCTGTCTCAAAAATAAATAAACATTAAAAAAAATTTTTAAAAATCACATGCAAAGTGTGTTTCTGTTATATAAAATTATGTGATGATGAGGAAGGGGAAAAAAGACTTAAAGACTTAAAGAATGTATTTTTAGGAGCAATGACTTCAGTTGCGTTTACCAAAATGTACTGGGTTACCTGTGAGTTGTGAGATTTTAGGTGACTTTTACTTAACCTCTTTATATTTTTCTATAATTCCTAAGTGTCTAAAAATGATTGGCATACATAAAATGGATAAATGGCTATTATCCTTGTTATACAGAGTTTAGAGTTCATTTAATTACTTTTTTTTATTTGTTTTTGTTTGTTTGTTTGTTTGTTTGTTTTTGAGAGAGACAGAGGAAAATCAGGAGGAGGAACAGAGAGAGAGGGAGACACAGAATCCGAAGCAGGCTCCAGGCTCTGAGCTGTCAGTCCAGAGCCTGACCTGGGTCTTGAACTCATGAACTGCAAGTTCATGACCTGAGCCAAAATCAGGAGTTGCATACCTAACTGGCTGAGCCAACTAGATACCTCATGAATAGATTTTTTAAAATTTATGTGTTTTGAGAGAGAGAGAGAGAAAGAGAGCAAGAGAGAGGGAGAGAGAGAACAAGTAGGGGAGGGGCTGAGAAGGGGGGAGCAGAGGATCTGAAGCTGGCTCTGTGCTGAAAGCAGAGAGCCTGATGCAGGGCTTGAACTCATGAACCATGAGATCATGACCTGAGCCGAAGTCAGATGTTTAACTAACTGAACCACCCAGATGCCCTTAGATTATTTTTATAATTAGAATAATATACTTACAAGTCAACCTATCCAGAAACTCTAAGATCATGGTAGTGTATGAAGTTTGGGAAGGAAACAGGTAGCCCTTCACACTGTAGTTGTATCTGAAGGCACTGTGCATTCTGGGTCATCAAGGGCAGTTCCAATGATGTCCGGGAGTCTGTTCATGAAATCAATAAAGTATGCAGTTCACTTCAGAAAGTGGAAGTAATAGAATCATTGCTTCTTTAAAAGCCTCTCTTATTGGAAAATTTACTTTCATAAAATCCCCCATTCACCTTTGCTGTCAAATAAATGAGATTGTGTTATAAGGCAATTATAACTCCATGTAAACATGCATTATCCTATTTGTTCTACAAATCCCGGGAAGCCTAGTAGTGTTCCCTATGCTCTTCTGTTTGCAAAGAGGAAACCCAGGTACAGAAACTTTGGAGTGGAGGCAGTGTGACAATAAAAATTCCATTTGCTTTAACTTTTCTCCCAAGAGGCAGACTGTATTTTTGTGTGTGTGGCTCGCCAGTGATATAAAAGGTAATGTTAGTATACTGTTTTCCCTTGAGGATTTCCTGGACGTGGTTAGAAATGAATTAAATGTTGTATGCCTTGGGAGAAAAAGTATTTGTTTTCTCACTGAAAATTCACAAGTGCTTTTTAATGAAATACTCTTCTCTGTTTGTTTTTTTTAGGATTTTATATTGCACGCTGATCCTTCCTCTGCACTACCTTGAGCCTTTCTTTTCATACATCTTCCTCAACCTCCAGCTCATGGTCCTGCAAGCCCTTCACCTCTACTGGTGTTACTTCATCCTGAAGATGCTCAAAAGATGTATATTCATGAAGGTAAGGGCTGTCTGAGTCTTACTGTTCTTAACGAGTGGATTTCATTGCTAGATTGAAGGTGAGGCCCAGGTGGTGGAACTTTCTAGTTAATTAATAGTTAACCAGAATTCTTTATATTTTCTTGATTTGATCATTATTGATTAAAATGTATCTAAAAGGTAACTATCTTTTCCATTAAGTAGGTCTCTAAGGTGCTTTTAAAAAATTGCTTTTATTAGAAGACAAGTAATTTTTATAAAACTTTTATCCAAATATTGATTGTTGCTGCTTCTTAATTTATTTTTATTTTTATTTATTTGAGAGAGCACAAGCATGAACAGGGGAGAGGGGCAGAGGGAGAGAGAGGGAGAAAGAATCCCAAGCAGGCTCCACACTCCTCGCAGAGCCCAATGCGGGGCTCAATCCCATGGCATTGGGACTATGACCCGAGCAGAAATCAAGAGTCAAACCCTCAACCAACTGAGCCACCCAAGTGCCCCTTGGTTGTTGCATTTTAAAGAATGTCCTAATAAGTCTAAATTTGGTCTGGTTTGGGGTAAGCTTTATTGTGAAAGTTGAGTAGTATTTCAGAGCCTTATGGTTACCTTCACTGAACACTCAATTTGCACATAAAGCTCTCCCTCTGAGCTTTCTCCTACACCTGAAATATTGTCTCTCATTTGGCTATGCTTTTTCTCTGAAAACAGCTTCTTCTCTAAGTAATAACAAATTAATAATACATTTTAGACAATAGAAGTTTTTGTTTGTTTGTTTTGAATTCAGTTCTGGGATTTAATCCTAGAACAGGGGTGGGGAAGGCTTCAAAAATGAGTAAGATATGATTACTGCCTTTGGGGAAACAACCCAGCATCTGGGGTGGGGGGAATATTTACCTACTAGTGACCACCTATATTGTGGAAGACAGAAACTAGTTGACTCCAGGGGGGGAACCAGGGAAAGTTTTATCGAATAGACAGAATTTGACTTGAGCCTTTAAGGCAAGTAAAAGAATAAATAAATAAAATAAAATCATAGTTCTTTCTTTGTCTGGAAATCATACTTTTTAAAAAAAAATGTTTATTTATTTATTTATTTTGAGGGAGAGAGAGCAGGAGAGGGGCAGAGAGAAAATCTCAAGCAGGCTCTGTGCTGTCTATGCAGAGCCAGATGTGGGGCTTGATCTCACAAACCGTGAGATCATGACCTGAACCAAAATCAAGAGTCAGACACTTAAGATTCAGCCACCCAAGTGCCCCTGGAAATCATACTTCTAAGGGAGTTTTAATTAAGGATCTTTCAAGGTGGAAGTTACAGTGGGCCCATTTTTGGTGTCACCATTCATGTGTAGTATGACACTGTATCATCAGAGGGAGTGGCTTGTAATGTAACTGGTATCCTGTCAATTTATCTGATAAGCTCACATTTTGATCAACCGTTCAATTCATTTGTTTTCCTATTTTAGTAAATGTGCCTCAAAGATTATTGAAGAGTTGACAAATGAAATGGACATTGTGATAATCGACCTCTGGGTTTTCTACCATCTCTTAGCTTCTAGATCTAGACAGAGGTATAGGAAATTGCATCTGGATTAATCTCAAACCAGATTTTGAAAGTAGTATTTGTTTGTTTAAATAAATTACTGACTTGAACTTGTTTTCTTGAGAGTGGACTCTTTCCCTTAAGTAGGAATGCCCAGGAAAAAACAAACAAACAAACAAACGAACAAACAACTTTCATCCAAAGATTCTAGTTTATTAATATTCTAAATAGTTTTCTCCTGACCTCTGCAAAAGTTATTTTACCTCTGAGCGACTGATAAAGTTAAAGGGACTGAGATAAGGTTAAGAAGTTGAGTATTTAGACAATTTGCACATCCAGGGGCTGGAAGGAAGGCAGGCCACTGAACTGATCCTGTCCCACCACTGAGTCAAGCCTTCCTGGAGCGCCCGTCCCTAGGCAGAAACGGTTCCCTTAATGGCTGGTGAGTGACAATAATTACAGGCCTGGAAGGGATCCAAGCAGAACAAAACTTGGAGACCAGAAGGTACTCTTGTTTGGTTTCAGCATAATTTTTCATATTTCTGACCTCTAATGTGTTGTACCAGGCCTGATTAAAAACCCAGTGCGTTGGGGAGCCGTGGACAGGAATTCCCGATTTCTCATGCTGTACTTTGGAAAAGCTGTTTCCAATTGCATTTTGACAGCAGTAGTGGAGGCCCCCGCAGCCCTAATCCCTGAAGTTCTTATGACTTCAGCTGGCTTGCATGCACACTCTGTTTTCCATAGCAGTGGCAAAACTGGCTGTGAAATCAGCTTATTCCTCCAAAGCCGTAAAGTGCCTTTTAAAGAATGCCATTTGAAGGCACAGTTGCATTGCAAAGGGGGAGGAGACAGATAAAGGTGGGAGTTGACATTCTTAGAGGAACAACTAACAAGCCAGTTTTCAACTCTATTTAATACGTAGTTAGCATTTAATGTACACCTCAGTTGTTACTAAGGTGACTAATTCTTGGATATTTAAAAAAGGGAATTGCAGAAGTTCTCAGGCCTCTTAAAACGTCTTTCAAATCTTATAACAGAGGTTGGGAATTTGTCTTTTTAAGCTTCTAGGCCCTTAATGAGTAGTTTTGAATATGCAAACGAATACGTCATTCAAGGGAACAAACCACACGGGCGTGGAAAGTCACAAAATTGTTTATTAACCTTTTTATGGCCTCCACGGATTTGCCTGGTAGGCTGGCAAGACAAAAGTGATTACACATCCTAAAAATAGCAATTTTGGAAATATCCATACCTTATTTTCCCTAAATAGTAGGGTCACTGCACGTGTATGACGAATGAAAACCTTCTACCGTTTGCTCCTGTTGTTGAAGACCTTAAAACAACAGAGGAACCGAAGTGGTTCCTCAAAACGGGGGGGGGGGGGGGGGGGGTTGTGAGGAACTACCAGCCCACACATCACATTGGGAAGTATGACGGGCTGATACTTCCGTCTTGTCATTCTCTTTGCAAACACGAGAAGTGCTTTCAGAGGAAATTGGAAGGAGGGTGGCATGCTTTCGTTTAATATTACTTCAGAGAATTTGATCATCCTTCTGGTTTTATTTTCTTCTTTCTAAATATCACACTGGGTGCTGGCCAACTCAAGCATGTCTCTCTGACATCTTAGGCTGGTGCACAGCCAAAATGCAGAGGGAGGCGCATTGCACGCAGCCGTCACAGCCAGGACAGGGCAACTGGCCCCCTGGCAACCTGCCCCAGCCATCTGCTCCGGACAGGCAGCGTCTCTTCAGTTCAGAGATGACACTTTATGCGCGGTGAACTCTTTTAGTTAAAGAAAGGAAACCTCTCAGAAATAGGGGAAACTGAGGCCTCGACCAAAGTCACACAATAAGTTTATGGCAAAGCTGAGACTAGAACGTGGGTCTCTTAATGTGTAATACTCTGCCTTTTCTAATTATTGTTGCTTTGAAATAACCAGAAAATTAATTTAAAATACTTGTAGGGGGTAAAAAAATAGTCCATAAAACAACTTGAGTCATCAAGATAATAGAATAAAACCCAGCACGAATCCTTTAACTTGTGCTTGAACGTTCTGAAAACATAAGAACATGTTTTGTATTTACTTTTTTAGTTTCAAATCACTTCCTTGTGAAGCAGGCTCTGTGTAGATTCAAATCTCTGCTTTCTCATTTGCTGGCTGTGTGATCTTAGGGATATTACTTCCATCGATTGCCTGAGTTTCTCCACCTGTAAAATGGAGGTGGTGATATTAACACCTGCCTTGTAGTATAAAGCCCTTAGAACAGCATCTGGCACATGGCAAGCACATGATAATGTCAGCTACCATTGTCATTACCATTATTACTATTAACTCAGGTTCTTTGTGCCAAGTCATGGAGAGCCTGTGACTTCCAGGTAGCCTGGCATTTGGCTGTCAGTCAAGCCCTCCCTCCCTTCCGCTTAGATAATGCCGCAGCTGAGTCAGGCATCAGTCCAAGGGCTCCCATGAGCCCTTGCTAAGCTGTCTTCTGCCAGACGACTTTCAGGACTCACATTCTGATGATCCTTTTTGACACACTCCGATATCAGCATGTTGGGGAAGAAATACAAAATTTGTAACATCTAGGAAACCTCTAGGTCTCTTTTCGTGGTAGTTAGCAGTGGATGTAAAACCTGCCCTTTGCTGGACAAGAGGTAAAATATCACAAAGGCTGGCGGTTAAAATAGCGTATTATAAAAATGTTATCAGTTTACATTTCCATAGTTCCAAGTATTTATATAGATTAACTGCTTTTACCAATCTATTGGGGGCACCTGGGTGGCTCAGGCCATGATCTCATGGTTCTCGAGTTCAAGCCCTGCATCAGGTTCTGTACTGGCAGCATGAAGCCTGCTCGGGATTCTCTCTCTCCTTCTCTATCTTCCCCTCCCCTGCTCGCATGCACACGCGCACACATGCTCCCTCTCTTTCTCTCTCTCTCAAAAATAAATAAACACTAAAAAACATTTTAAAAACCCCACAACAATCTATTGAAGAGGCAACAGTAGAGTTTATAAACTTGTAAAAAGTAACCATGCAAAGTTGCTTGGCTTAAGAAATTTCAAATTTGAATCTTCTTCCACACACTCCATTCAGCCGAGCTGTGAAATATACTTGCAGAACTGGGAGAGACCACTACGCATCCACCAGGACACCATGACCCCCTCCTCAAGTCCTTCCCACTGTACTGCAGTGTACCACTCCCTTGCACATCAAACTGTGCTCTGTGTTTCCTAGAGGAAGAGAGGGGGGTGAGTGACGAAGTTACATGACTTACCCAAGGTCACACGGGAGTGGGGTTCATGCCTGCAAAGCTTGAGACTTCACAGCCCATGTTGCTCATGTGCTGTGCTCTCCTGCCTCTGCAGCAGCTCTGTGTTTGTGAATGTACGTCCTCCTAACATGAGTGATATGTATTTAATATGTGTGTGTTTATATGTATTTCCCTGCATGTGCATTCAGTGGATGTACACTCAGT